TCTGTAGTTGTCTAGTCTGAGTATGAAGAATTAACAGAACTTCTTCATTTATCTCACTCAGATACTGCTTTTCAAGAATTTTACTTGCTTTTTCAAGTTTCTGTATTTCAAGAACTTGTTGTTTCTCTATTTCTTCTTTCTTTCTTCTCTTCAGAATTTCAATCTCAGGAATAGTATTTGAGAAAGCATCTTTTTTCACATCAACTGAGTGTACTTTTGAACTCATTGTTCTTACTCAATGAAAAGTTGGTCAGACTAATTCAATTGAGATATTTATTAAACTCTTTTGAATTGAAAAGTTGATCAGACTGTTTCAATTAAGAGGTTTCTAAGTCTGTTTTCAATTGAAAAGTTGATCAGACTATTTCAAAAGAAGAATAGCAGACTTTTATGTATAAAACACCTGATTTTTTTCACACTAGTTCAGTAACTAGATTAGATTTTTGAAGAGAATCTAATAAACTAAAATTGATTTTTAAGATAAATCAATAAAATCTTTACAATCTCTTTCTTGGAATACAGTGAGAAAAAGTGTGATATCAATTAATAGTAAATCAGATAATATGACAGTTTTTGAGAGAAAAACTGACAAAAAATAAATCAATTTTTTACAGAGAAATTGATTAAAACTATTCAATTTTATTCTAAATTATTCAATTCTTCTCACACAACAAGTGTGCAACTCAAATCAGTTAATAAAGAGTGTAAAAAAGAATTAAGTATTAATGAAAGCTCTTCAGTCACTGAAAAAGTAATTCTTACTTAAAAGAATATGAAATTATGACAGAAAACAACTCTGTTTTTAATTCTTTGTAAGAATATTGTGTAAAATTCAGAGAAAAACACCTTACTTTTTCAAGAGAAGTAAAAAACTATTTCTAAGATCTTTTTTTTTTTGCATTAACTGCTGCAGAAGAATGAGATAGAAACTGCTAAGATATGCACTACTGTATACTCTCTATCAAGACTTTCTCTCTTGAGAGTCTTGATATTATAGAGAATATAAGTCTGTTTCTATATAATAATGTAAATATTGTCAGCAGGATGTAGAGGAACTAGTTATTTATATCTCAAAATAGAAGACTTTGTCAATGATTATATCAATATAGAGTTAATTCTCAAATTTAATAGAAATCTAGTGTTGCTGTTCTCAATTCCTTACAGAATCTATTGAATATTGAGATATTAAAACTAGATTTAATATATCTCACTGTGCAGGGATCAAAGGCTCAGTCAGACCTTGGGGTATACTGATTTTATAGTTGTTGATGTGCTGTTGACTCATTGTTCATTGATTATGTGCTTGATATTATTGCTGAGGTATCTTTTTGTATTTTTCTGCCGGGGATGGGCCAGATTGGGAAGGGCGGTACGAGGGTGGGACTTGGTGTTGGTGTTTTGGAACATCAAAGATGGACAGGGTTTTCGCGGAGGTCGCTCCTCAGATATCTCCACAACTACAGATCAGGGATCTTCCAAAATCGAGAAGATTGGTGCATACGGCTAGGTCTCTTCACCTTACAATTTGTATGGCAATTTGGCCCGGGGTTGTGGTGTGGTAGGGGAGAATGGGGGATAATCCCACGCAGGAGTTCCGAACGACATCTGGTTCACGTTTGGCTGGATAACTCCACCACCACACGGGATATGCGGTCGGCGATGGGGTCAGAATGCTCGTATGATCGAGGGCTTTTCGATGGATCTATCGGCGGGTTCTTATTCGAAAAATCGAGCGAGTTCGTGGTGAAGCGGTTTTTTGCTTGGATTATACTGTATATAATATAAAGAGATAGATGAGTTTTTCTGTTAACTATGTAGATCTTTCTTTACTCATCTTTATTCAAAACAAATGTGTGATAAGTGAGTTTCTTATATATTAATTTAAGATGAAGAAAATATAGTTAATAAGTGACTTACAGATCTCTCATCATATTCTATTCTATATATGAAATTCTCTGTAAAAGTGATATATTTTAGAAACAAAGCTAATAGTAGTAGCAGGATTTTTCAAAAAGATTTCTCTCTCTGTGAAATATTTTTCTTTCTCTCTTCTCTCAATTATAATAGTGAGTGTATGAGAGTATTATTCTTGAAAGATAATAAAGAACTTATTCTAATATTTTCTAGTAAGTAAACATCTTTATAGTGCAGCTGCAGTCTCTGTGACTATTAAGAAAGTCAGATTGAAGATGAAGACAGCAGTATTAATAAGCTGTAAAAGCACTGCTTTTATTATTACATCTTCTTCTTCTTCTGCATCTCTTACAGCTGCAGTGAAAGTTGCTATATCTTGCAGTGAGATGTCATTTCTTCTACTGATCAGTGTATCTGTGTTCAGTCTGTTCTCTGTCTTCTCTGCTGCTGTTATGATGTCATTTCTCTTCTCAGTTAATACAGTGATATATGACTCTGTGTAATCATTCAGAGAGAAACTCAGAAAGAGCTTGATTTCAGAGACAGTGACTCTGAGAAGCTCAATCTGTAGTTTCTCTTCTGTAGCATATCTGAGCCCTGCTCAGACTGCTGCTGAGTTGAGTCTGCAGAGTTCTATAGTTTCTTCATCTTCTCTCTGTGAGAAGACTCTGATATGATCTCTGATCAGTATCACTACTTGTCTGTACTATGTTAAGCAGCTGAAGAAAGAGAGAATTTTATATATTTACTTCTTCTCTCACTCTTATTATTTCTATTATATCTGTAATAATGACTTCTATCTCTCTGTAAGTATTATCTCATAGAAAGATATTGTGTCAGCTCTGATAAAAAGTCTAGATACTTAAGTAGTACAGAGTGAGAGTCTCAGAGCTTTAAGTATTAATAAATTTTATTAAGACTAAGAAGATCTCTCTTACTTATCTATAAAAAGAGATAAAAGTATGAATCTTCAAGATAAAAAAATATCTCAGAATGACTGATCTTAAGAAGAAGTCAGTCAGTGCTGTTATTGAAAGTATCATGAAGATTAATTACTAATTGAAGAGAATCTCACTTTAATTAAAGTAGATAACTGAGATGCTTTATAAATTAATAAGTTGATACTTTAAGTATCTCTTATACTCTTCTACAGCATGCTTCTCTGCAGTGCTGTAGTATTAACTTCTCAGCAGATAAAGATACTGATATCAGAGACTTCAATAATAAAGAATAAGTTTAATGAGAGTGTGATTATTGATAAGTAGATTCTGAGATTCTCTCTTTTTACTTTTTCAGTAGACTGCAGTCTTATTAGATTAGCAGCAGTCTGTAGATTAATTAATATTAATCTTTTTATTAATTTCAAATATCTCTTTCTTTTCTTATTAACTGCTTCAGGAATTTTACACTTGTGTAGTCTCATTAAACTTCTAAAAAATTCTTTGAGAGAAAATAGAAGAAGAGTGCTACAGAGTCTATAAGATATCAACTCATTATTATAAGATTATCTCTAAAAAACTCTTTGAGAAAAATGAGAAGTCTTTAAGCAGTATTTCTTACTCAATATCTCTGATATATAATAGAGCAGTCTCTACTAGCTGTCTCATAGCTTACAATCTCTTTCTCAGTATTTTTCAAATATTTAAGCAGTTCTTACAAATTCTCTGACAATGAATATTCTTCTCATTTAACAAGATATTGAAGCTTATTATAATGTATTCACTTGTTCAATATTTTCTTTATAAGATATTTAATATCACTCTCAATCTTAATATTATTCAGCTGAGACAGCTTTACTTCAGAGTATTACTTATAGAGCTTTAAATAGAAAATGTGAAAAATAGAATGAATTGATTTCAATTCTGTGAGTAATTTCAACTTATATATCTGCTTACTCATCACTCTTATTACTGAGAAAGATTCTAGTCACTACTTACTAAGCTTCTTACACAGTCTTATTATCTTGATATTCTTTACTAAAAGTAGCACTTGATTCTCTATTAAGAACTTCATTGAAAGATGTTTTTAATTATAGTACTTTATCTACTGCTTCTGAGTGCAGTTGTAATGTGATGAAACCGAAGAAGTGACTAGTCAGCAGTGACATGTAGAAGTAGTTGTTTAAGAAGCTGTATAAGTAAGCTTGACTATCTTACTTGAATAGTGAGCTTGTAGACTACAGAGTTATTGCAAGAATATCACAGATATAATACTTAGTATACTAAGAAGATTATATAAGATACATAGTAACTCTTATATATATTTCAGTAGAAGAAAAAATAAATCACTGACTTCTTTTATAAGAAGTCAGTATCTAGCTATTCTATATAGATAATAAGTGAATATCTTCTCTCATTTCATAAGTGAGAATAGCTGAAGTGATACCTCAGCAGCATCTCACTATTAAGAAAAAGTAATCTGCTAATCTTATATAGAAGTAGAGTTCTTATATTTATTAATCAGATCTTTCTATAATATATCTGAATAATATTATAGAGCAGTTAAAAACTAATTTAAATAGTCTGTGAAATGAATGAAATCATCTGTATGAAAGTAATAAGTTATGTGAAATTACAGCAGAGTTTTAACATAACTGAGAGTATGATAATACTCTTCTCTTTAAGAGTATAGTCTCTATATTTTCAAGATTACTGAATTAGAAATTATCTTTATTATATAGTAATAGTTATCAACTGATTAACAGTATATATACTACATATAATATAAAGAAATAGATAAGTTTTTCTGCTGACTGTATAGATCTTTCTTTTCTCATCTTTATTCAAATTAAATATATAATAAGTGAGTTTCTTATATATCAATTTAAAATATAGAAAATATAGTTAATAAGTGACTTGCAGATCTCTTAACATATTTCATTCTATATATGAAATTTTCTGTAAAAGTGATGTATTTTAGAGACAAAGCTAACAGTAGTAATAGGATTTTTTCAAAAAGATTCTTCTCTCTTTATGACACATTTTTCTTCTCTCTCTCTCATCTGCAATAGTGAGTGTATGAGAGTATTATTCTTGAGAGATAATAAGAGACTTATTCTGACATTTTCTAGTGAATAACAAACATCTTCATGATGTGACTGCGGCCTTCATGACTGTCAAGAAAGCCAGGTTGAAGATAGTAATGTCAATGAGCTGCGGGAGCACTGCTCTCATTGCCACATCTTCTCCTGCTTCTCTTGCAGCTGTGGTGGTAGTTGCTGTGCCTTGCAGTGAGATGTCATCTCTTCTGCTGGCTGATATGTCTGTGTTCAGTTCATTTTCTGCTCTTCTCATCACTGTTGTGACACTGCCCTCCCTCTCAGTCAATACAGTGATGTATGACTCTGTGTGATCATTTGAAGAGGAACTCAGAGAGAGCTTGATTCTGAGAATAGTGACTCTGAGAAGCTCAATCTGTAGTTCCTCTTCTATGACATGTCTGAGTTCTGCTCAGAATACTGCTGAGTTGAGTCTGCAGAATTCTGCAGTTTCTTTATCTTCTCTCTATAAGAAGGCTTTAGTATAATCTCTGATCAGCACTGCTACTTATCTGCACTGTGTTAAGCAACTGAAGAAGAAGAGAATCTTATATACTCATCTCTTCTTCTACTTCTGTTATTTTCATTATATCTGTAACAATAACTTCTATCTCTCTGTAAGTATTATCTCACAGAAAGACATTATGTCAGCTCTGATAAGAAGTCTAGATACTTAAGTAGTACAGAGTGAGAGTCTCAGAGCTTCAAGTATTGATAAATTCTGTCAAGACTAAGAAGATCTCTCTTACTCATCTATAAAAGAAGATGAATGTATGAATCTCTGAGATGAAAAAACATCTCAGAATAACTGATCTTAAGAAGAGATTAATCAGTACTGTTATTAAAAGTATTATAAAAATTAATTACTGATTAAAGAGAATCTTACTTCAACTGAAGCAGATAACTGAGATACTTTATAAGTTAATAAGTTAATATTTTATATATTTCTCATACTCTTCTGCAGTACTGCAGTACTAACTTCTCAGCAGATAAAGATACTGATATCAGAGACTTTAATAATAAAGAATGAGTTTGATAAGAGTGTGATTATTGATGAGTAGACTCTGATCTCTCTTTTTACTTTTTCAGCAGACTGCAGCTCTATTAGAATAGCAGCAGTCTGTGAGTTAATAATATTAATCTTTTTATTGATTTTCAATATCTCTTTTCTCTAACTGCTTCAGGAATTTTACACTTATATAGTTTTATTAAACTTCTAAAAAACTCTTTAAGAGAAAATAGAAGAAGAGTGCTACAGAGTCTATAAGATATCAGCTTATCACTGTGAGATCATCTCTAAAAAATTCTTTAAGAAAAATGAGAAGTCTTAAGTGATATTTCTTACTTAATATCTCTAGTATATAATAAGATAATCTCTACTAGCTGTCTTATAGCTTGTAATCTCTTTCTCAGTATTTTTCAAATGCTCAAGCAGTTCTCATGAATTCTCTGATAATAAATAATCTTTTCATTTAATAAGATATTGAAGCTTACTGTAATATATTCACTTATTCAATATTTTCTTTATAAAATATTCAGTATCACTTTTAATCTTAATATTATCTGACTGAGACAGCTCTGTCTCAGAGTATTACTTATAGAGCTCTAAATAAAAAATATGAAAAATAGAATAAATTGATTTCAATTCTATGAATAATTTCAACTTATATATCTGCTTACTTACTACTCTTGTTACTGAGAAAGATTCTAGTTATCACTTACTGAGCTTCTTATATAGTCTTATTATCTTGATATTCTTTACTGAAAGTAGTACTTGATTCTCTATTAAGAACTTCATCAGAAGATGTTTTCAATTATAGTATTTTATCTACTATTTCTAAGTACAGTGAATACTTTTCATCATCTTCTTATAAATTTTATTCAAAAGTTTTAATCTCACTTTTACTTCTGATACTGAGAAATACTCTGTTCTCTATATCTATTTAATATTCTGACTGTCTATTTCTCTCTTTGAAATATTATCTGTGATGTCACTGAATAATGAAGAATTATATTTATAATAAGTATAGAAAGAAGATATCTTTAAGATTATATTCTTTATATTATTATATATGAATTTGATAATTAGAAGATGTTTGAGTCAATTATTCTGATAATATAAATAGAATGCTTAAAGATACTGTTCTAATATCTGATTCTGATATTCAGTCTGATTATCTATCTACAGATGAAATGTGATACTGAGAAGATATCTTATTATAAGATGATAGTAAAAAGCTGACTAGTATTTACTAATGAAGAGAAATTCTTGATCTGTTATCAATGATTTCAAAGCACTGTAATCATGAATAATAATATCTAAAAACAGGTCAGTCAATTCAGAGGCTTTAATCTTTTTATAAGTAGAGATATATCTGATTATCTTTGTAAAGCAGTTAATAATAATTAAAATCAAGTCATATTCTTTGACTCTTATTGACTTTAGCAGATTAACTATGAAATTCATTGATAAATTCTATTATAAGCTCTTTGAAACAGACAGTGATATTAACTCACTATATTACTTATATCACAGAATCTTTATTCTTTAATAGATATTATAAGTTTTAATATACTCTTTGACATCTGTCTGAAGCTTGTTTTAAATATATTTATATTTTAAAAGCTTCTTAGTCTTCTCTAATCTGAAGTGCTCTGTATGAGAATTATTATAATAAATTCTTAATAACTTCTAACACACTGCTCTACTACAAGAGATGAAGACTGAATCATTCAGTAGTAGAAGTTCACATTCTTCTAGTTATCAGTGACTTGATTTCTTAGCAGTACTGTCTTACTCAGAATCTGTCTCTTTCAAGTTTAAACTAAACTCTTTCTTCTTCAACTTCTGAATTCAAGCTGCAGTAAAGATATTTCTCTTCTATAACTTATTAATGAATTTTAAAAGTAGTTGAGTTAAAAGATTGTAGACTGTTTTATTCTTTATCAATTCAATAATTGTAAGATATAATATAAGAAGCTTATAATCTTCAGTGTCAGTTCTCTACAGAAATTCAGGTTTTCTTTCATCTTCTATACTGAGTTATACAGCTGTCTCTTCAGTACTGTTCTCAAGTTTCAGAGAATCTCAATTCTCTGCAGTCAGCTTCTTCTGCAGTGATGACAGAGATTCTTTTATAGAATTCTTCTCTGTATTAATAATATTATAATCAGGTTATCTAGATAGTATATCAGCAGAGTTAAGCTGATCTGAACAGTATCAGATATAGAAATCATACTCTGAAAGTAGCTTCACTCACCTGGCTTGACATTCTATTAAGCTCTTTATTATCAAGAAGTAATACAGATTTGCATGATCAGTGAGAACTTACACTAAGTACTTACTACTCTGAAGATAATGTTATCAGATCTTAAAGAATTTGATAATTACTAACATCTTCTAATTATGAGTATTATATCTTCTCTGTGTGAGTGATAACTTCTTGAAGAAGAAGATCACTGATCTTTATTCACAGTATCTTATAGACTCTGTGAAAAAGTCTTCTCTTACAGACAATTCATTATCTGTTTTCTTAGAGATAATTATTCTCTGATTCTTTCAATATTGAAAGATCTTCAGTGTCAACTGTGAAAAGATTTCACAGACTTTATTTCTGAATATATCAGTCTCACACTGACTGAGTAAGTTGAGATTAAAGTGATTCAGTATTATAATATCTGTGAAAGCTTGTTTCAATTCTGCAAATACCTGTATAATGTCTTGAGTAAGAGTAAACAGTCTTATTTTTCTATCTTTCATACTTCTCTTTAATAGATCTGTAAGAGAGGCAGTAATCTGTGAATATGTATAGATGAATTATCTGTAGAAATTCACAAATTTTAGAAATATCTGTATCTTGCAGTATGTCTGCAGCACTGATCAGTTCTCAATGACAGAGACTCAGCTTCTGTTTATTGAAATGTCATTCATCTCAATAATATAATCTAAGAAATCAATCTTCTGCATGTAGAATGAGCATTTTTCAGTGTTTATATAGAGTTAATACTGTCTCAAACAACTCAATACTTCTTAAATATGAGTATCATATTCTTTCTCTGATTTTGAGAAGATTAAAATGTCATTCAGATATACTATGCAGAAGACATTGATAAGACTCTGCAGTGTCTCATTTATATAGATCTGAAAGATGACTGAAGTATTACAAAGATTAAAAGATAAAACAAGATATTCAAAATTGTTATACTTGATATGAAAAGCTGTTTTTTAAACATTATCTTCATTAACTCTGATTCTATGATAGATATCTTATATATTAATCTTTGAGAACATCTTTACTTTAGATAATTAATCAATTATCTCATCAATTAACAGTAATGAATAGTAATTCTTAATCATCATCTTATTAAGATCTCTGTAGTCTATGCATAGATATAGTCTATTATTCTTCTTAGATACAAAGAGTATAAATGTCTCTGTCAGACTCTTTAATAGATATATTCAGTTCTTTGATTGCACTTCTTCAAGATATTTATACAGAATATTCAATTTCTTTACAGATAAGTTGTAAAGAGACCTGTACAGTACTGTTATACTATCTTCAAGATAAATCTTATATTATATCTTAATATCAGAAAACTTTACTACTTCTCTTTCTAAAAAGACATTCTTAAAATTTGTAAAGAGATGTTGTGTACATTCATCTTCTATAACAGATACTGCTGCTAATCTTGCAGTGAGAGTAATGACTTCTTTATCTATTCTCAAGTCTCAATCATCTGCTACACAGTATATTAACTCAATCTTTTTCTCAAGATTCTTTCAATGAAACTCTTCAAATTTCTCTATTACTATCTCTTCATTAGTGAGATAATATCATTACATCTGAGTGACTCAGTTAATAAGAGAATTGTTTTCTCTCAATCACAGAAGATCTAAAATAATGTTCTCATCTATAATATTAACTATGTGAAGAAGCAGACTACTTTTCTTGAAGATTTCTTCTAAGTCTGTGATCATATACTTTGCTTAAATTATGTCAAAATAATGATATTTCATTTCATTTATAAATTTTGCATGATCTGATGAATCTATCTTCTTTTAACTCTTTATCAAAGAAAAGAAATAGAATATGAAGTTAGTATCTACTCTGAAGTTAAGTAGACATCTCACTGATATCTTCTTATTCAGAGTATATATTGTAATTATAACATGAACTCAGAGATATGAGAATTATTAATTCTTTTCTTTCTCTTCTTTATCTTTCATGAATACATTTGTCAGAAGAGAAGTTAACT